TTGCCGTGAAATAGCTGACCCCAAGATCCAAGAAGAGCAGTGTGGCTTCCGGCCCGGTCGAAGCACCCCTGACCATATATTTGCCCTGCGGCAGATTGCTGAAAAAGGGTGGGAGCACGCCCGTCCGGTGTGCATTGTCTTGTTGACCCAGTAATAGCCTATCACCCGATCCCATGCAACAGTCTGTGGTCATGCCCGCGAATATGTTGGATCCATGGCCAATTGCTACGGACCACGAATGCATTATATGCTGACAAAAGGTGCTGCGTCAGAGCAAATGGCCTTTAGTCGAAGCCTTTCTACGTGGGCACTGGTCTCCGCCTAGGCTGCATTTTGCCTCATTTCATGTTTGCATGTACATGGATTGAATATGAAGGCGCAGCCAATGCGACGTATGTTTCAGCATAGAGGATGTCGAGACGTCAAAGTTTCTGTTTGCAGGGCAGCTTGTTTTGTTGGCATCTTCTGAAACTGCTCTTCGGCGCTGTTTGGAAAGAATCACTGCCGAGGGGGAACGCGTGTAATATGAAAAGCCTAGTGCGTTCTCGTTATCCTACGGGTTGCTCTTTTCAAATGAACGGTGAAGCAGTGCAGTAGAGTAGATGGAGGTTCTTCAGGATCAGATTACTGGTGATGGAAAATGGGAGGAAGAAATCACATCGTCGAATTGGAATAGCCAGCGGGGTCCTGCGTGAACTAGCCCAATCTGTTGTCACTAAAGCAGAGGTGAGTCTAAAGACTAATTTCTCTGTGTTCAAGGCGATCTTCATTCCCATGCTCACCCTCGATCATAAGTTCTGGATCATGAGTGAAAAACTTCGATTCCTTATATGAGCAGCTGAAATTGACTTTCTATGGCGAATGGTTGGCCTTATGCATCTCGTCATGTTGTAAAGCTGTAGTACAGCCGTTGTTTTTTCAGATCGTTTTACGGAATATATCAGTCAAAACAAGGCGGTTATTTTGTGGAAGACGGCATGACGAAGAGCGACTAAGAAGCCCTCAAAAACCATCGAGTAATTATACTCCTGTCACAGAGGTACACAGTTTTCACCCTCATCATTCTCTACCGCCTGTATATATAATCATCCATTCATGCATATATATACTTGCGAGATGTGACGGAGAACTCCAGTTTTCGACACTGCAGCTGGCTATTAATCTGCCTATCCGCTTTCTATTCCTTAAAACTTGACTAATGCAGTCAGCATTAACTGCGACTCGAAATCACCACTCTCTCTCTCTCTGAAAAATGCAACGTTCAAAGATGAAATGAACAAACAACACCGAATTTGTCAATCCGGTTCTCGTTCGTGCAGAGCGCTTCCGTTGCATTTTGCATTTAACTGTTACACACAGGACAAAGAAAAATTACACGAGACAGACGAGCGTGGGTATCGATGATTCACGTCAATTATGAACATAGGTCAATCAAGAATATTAAGAATATTAACTATTGGAGGCAACCATATTTAATATTTTCAAACAGCTATATTTATGTGCTCATTCGCACTCTGAAAATAACTGTTGCTTTGAAACGTCACCGACCTTGTGTCGGCAACTTCGTACAACGCAGCCTACAAGGCATGTCAAAGTAAAATCTGCAATTTGGTCAATATGAGTTTAGGGTCAGTTGATGAATGAACCAAACGCCCGGTACCTTGATTATCTTCATCAAAAAAGCCAAGACGGGAATGAGGGTCTCTTTAGTTGGAAATGGTCATTGACTGCAAACGAGTGAGAGAAAGTATAAAAGTACAACAATGTACTTCATGATAGTAGACCTGCTTTGGACGAAGAATGTGGCGTTTACTTGACTGAGGCCTAAGCGAGTAATTCAAATGGTCAACAGTCACGAATTTGACTACTTTTCAGGTGACGCTTTGCTAGCTTTAAATCAAGATCACAACAGCATAATTTTATGTGACATACAAAAGATTTATAATGGGAGGAAATATAGAACCTATCATTAAGTATCGAATCAGAAACAACACGCCGAACCACGCCGCTTGTTTCTGCATTAACTTTGAAATTATATTATATATGGAAATACCCATGGCTATAAAATACAGCCAGATCCTGGTATGCTATTGCGATTAGCGCGTCGTGCAGACATCCTCGAAATCCGAGGGTATGATCGAGTAACGAAAAATCACAATTTGCCTAAGAACCTGTCTGAAAAGTAAGCATAGCCTCTTGCAGAAGCATAGAACTAACTGAGGACGTGAGAAGTGCTTTATTAGTATCGAAACGATATGGCATAAGCCATAAGAAACA